AGGACTTAAGGTAAAACAGAAAAAGTGCCTGTAGGGAGTGAGCAGTGTGGATTTCTTGGGTTTCCGGGTTGACACGGGCGGCCTCCATCCAGCAGAGGACAAAGTGCGCGCCATTTGCGACGCCCCAGACCAAAAGAGCAAGGCAGGGTTACAAGCCTTCTTGGGACTTCTTAATTTTTACCACGCGTTCCTGCCGCACAAGGCAGCCATAGCTGAGCCTTTGCACAGGCTCTTGGACAAAAAAGTGCCGTGGGTCTGGGGCCCTCGACAGGCCAAGGCGTTCCGAGGGGTCACAAACTTGCTTGTGTCCAACTCAGCATTGGCACACCTCGATGAAAAGCTTCCGGTGGTGCTGGCTTGTGACGCTTCCCGTTACGGAGTGGGCGCAGTACTGCGCCACCAGCTTCTGGACAGGAGGGAAGTCCCAGTGGCTTACTTCTCCCAAACTCTCACGTCGATGGAGCACAACTATTCCCAGATCGACAAGGAGGGTTTGGCAATAGTTAAGAGAGTCAAAAAGTTTCATGACTTTCTTTATGGTCGGCCTTTCACTATTGTTACCGACCACAAGCCACTACTGGGACTATTTGTGCCCGACCGCAAAACACTCCAGATGCTTTTGCCACGAGTATTGTGCTGGTCCATTTTCCTGACCGGTTACCAATACTCACTACAGCACCAACCTGGGAAAGTCATGGGTCACGCAGATGCACTCAGCCGCTTGCCGTTGTCGGAGAACGGCCCTGACCCTGCTCCTGCCCACCAGATCCAGTGGCTGGAAGACTTATTGGACCAGCCCTTGCATGTGAAGGACATTGCTGCTGCAACCGCGAAGGATAGGCTGTGTCTCGCGTCTCGGACTGGGTGGCGAGGGGGTGGCCCAGGAAGCCAGGTCCAGAATATTCATGCTACACAGCCCGCAAAGACGAGCTGTCTATTCACCGAGGATGCGTGTTATGGGATAGCAGTGTCATAGTCCACGCCCCCCCCCCCCCCCGTTAAGGAAAAAAGTTTTAGAAGGGCTGCATGTGTCTCACCTGAGGGTCATCTGGATGAAGGCATTAACCCGTAGCTATGTGTGGTGGCCAGGCATAGATGTGGAGAGGGCTGGGTGAAACATTGCGAGCCCTGCCAGGTCTCCCGGATCCACCCAAGGCACCAGTACAGTCCTGGAAGTCCACACAATCCCCATGGTCTTGGGTGCACGTGGATTTCACGGGGCCTTTTCAGGGCCAACACTTCCTAATAGTGGTGGATTCTCAGTCCAAGTGGCTCAAGGTGGTGCCGATCTCAACCGTGTCCGCTAGAGCGACTATAAACACACTCAGGAAGCTATTTGTGATACGTGGCTTGCCAGACACACTGGTGAGTGATAATGGGACCACTTTTACATCGGTGGAATTAAAAGAATTTGTAACCGAGAATGGAATCTGCCACATTTGTTCCGCTCTTTTTCACCCAGCCACTAACGGCCAAGCTGAACACATGGTCCATACTACCAAAGATGCACTTAGGTGCATAGTGCATGGAGATTGGACTCTCCGGTTAGCGGAGTTCTTATTGGCCCAACACATTACCCTAAGCGCAGTGACTGGCTGGAGCCCGGTGGAGTTGCTTATGGGGAGGAGGCTCATTACCCTCCTTGATCGTAAGGACCCCGACTGGGCTCTTGATCAACTGCCATCCACTGTGGTACAGGGGCTCCAAGAGGGTTCTCTCCCGGGGACACTGTGTACGTCCGAAACTATGGGCCCGGACAGGGTTGGGTCCCTGGTATCATTGCCCACTGTACAGGTCTGGTTTCCTATGAGATAGGGTTGGAGGGGGGACTGGTTTGGAAGAGACACCTCAACCAGATCAGAGCCAGGCACCTCCGAACATGGAACTTCAAGCGGATCCAGAAGACAGAGAAATGGGTACTTCAGAGATTCTGTGCTCAGGCCAGGGTGGGAACCAGATGGGTTGCCAGTGACTGAGTTACCCCAGCAGGGTGACCTCAGGCCAGAATCCTCAGTGGCTCCATCGGCAGTGACCCCTTCGGAGCCGGCCTCGCTGACTGCCCCACTCACAGTGGGTACCGGAGAAACCTCCTGGGTCACCCACTTGGCACAGGAACTGCGAAGATCCCAGCGGGAGAGGAAAAGGCCGGCACACCTTGATGACTATGTTTGTTCCTTTTGTTAGGAAGTTGGGGGGAGGAGTGTTATGTATTGGGTTTAACACATTTTATGTTACAAGTGCATTCTAACCAATCATAGATGCGTTGGTAGATGAACATTCTAATGGCAAGTAAGCGCATGCTCTTTCAACTGCCAACGGTCAGTTCATGCTTGGCATTATTATCGTGTTGTCCAGTCAGTTTGGATCTTGTGTTCCTATGAGTGAGCTGTTGTCACTGACAAATGTCACTGACAAATGTTGAATAAACTTAGTTGAGGAACTTATACTGCCTTGGGCTTTTGACATTTTCCAAACATTTAACACAATGCAATTTCTGTTGGAAAGTTGGGCCTGGAGACTCAGGGGTCTAGACTATTTTCTTTTCTTTTCTTAACTCATCAGGGCCATCTCTCTTTACAGTCACTCTGTATTATTCTCATCACACCTATTAAAGATTTGAGGTAAGGCACTTATGTAGAACAAGAGGGTCTGGGTAGGATTTTTAGACCCTGCTATGCGCTTTATCCCTTTCAGAGGAGGAAGCGGAACGGAGCCCAATCTGATGTTGTCAGGGTGGGCAATCTTCCCCCACCTTTTCTTGGATTAGCAACTAATGGGATTTAGCTGCTCATCCAATATCCCCCTTCAATACAGGAGCGGAGGGGGCTAAATGCCACTCCGGATTAAAAAATACACCCCTTCCTCCATAGAAAAGTGCAGCTCAGTTAAGCTGTTTCTAATTAAAGCCAGCCCCTACATGTCCATCACCCCTCCCTGAGCAAGCCACGGTGACCCCAGCCAAAAAGGAGGAGCTTGCAAATTTCATACGTTTCATCAGCCAGCGTGGAGAGACTATTCAGGGGGTCAGAGATGGAAGACACACTTCTTTTTCAGGCAACAGGTAGAAACACCACCCCTCTCCTGCTCTATGCTCACAGGCAGTTAAAAATGAACTAACCACCATTTGCAAAACGAAGAAGCCAATTTAGACCAAGTTAGGGCCTTGGGTCCATCTATCCAGTTTTGTCTACAATGACTGGCAGGGCATCTCCAGGACTTCAGACAGAGATGTCTCCCAACCCAACTGGAGACGAGGGGGATGGAATCTGGGACTTTGCATACAAAGCAGATGCTCAAATCATGGAGCCAAGGCTGTTCCTCACACCGTCAACCCCCTGATCTGTCCTGAGAAGAGGGAACAGGTGAATAAATGCCATTCCAAAGGGCAAACACCTTTTACTTGTGCGTTTTTCGCTTCTCCTTAGTTAAATAAAATTTTATTTTTTTTAGCATTCTTCAATCACAGAAAAAGATGTCCACTGTATCTCCTACATGATAGAATCATAAAACCCTCCAACCCCCTGCAACTAGGTCATGCAGGGCAGATGGCCATCCAAACTCTGCTTAAAAACCTCTGATGGAGTTTGTCACCTCTGGTGGGAGTCTGCTCCCCTGTAAAACAGCTCTTTCTAAAAGAAAGTTCTTCCTGGTGTTTAGTCAGGACCTCTTTTCTTGTAACTTGAAGCCGTTATTTGTTTCCTACCCTCCAGAGCAGGAGAAAACAAGCTTGCTCCATCCACCACGTAACAGCCTTTAAGGTAGTTGAAGATGGCTATCATATCTCCTCTCAGTTCCCTCTTTACCAGGCTAAACATACCCTGCTCTCTCCACCTTTCCTCACAAGGCATGGTTTCTATCTTGGTTGCCCTCCTCTGCACACCTTCCAGCTTGTCAATGTCCTTCTTAAATTGTGGTGCCCAGTGTGGTGTCTGACCAAGGCAAAATACAGCAGGACATGAATCACTGCTCTGGCATGCCTCTGAGAGGAGCTATAGCTCAGTGGCAGAGCATGTATTTCTGGTTCAATCCCAGCTAGCGTCTCTGGGTAGGGATGGGAAAGACCCCTCCCTGCCTGAAACCCATTGCAAAGTAGGCGCAGCAATGGAAGAGGCAGCTTCCTCTTCCTAGAATATCTAGGGGTGGGGTGGGGAGATGAGCAGCAGAAGTTATGACATCCACAATAAACCATCCTTGTACCTTTGTGTTATTGACAGGCAGGGTACAAATGTATTAAGTAGCTAGTTGTTGGCATCCGTCTGCTTCAAGAAACAATTGACTGCGTCTCCGGGAGTGAAGCCAAACCGCTGAATTAGCAGCACCATAGTGACCTCTCTGGGGTGTAAATCCGGCCAGTGTGTATGGAGGTCCTGGGCTGCCCAGACAACAAGACCCCTCTCTCGGACTCACTGATGTGGTCCAAAAGAAAGCAGAGCAACGTGGTTGGCACCAGCTTGGCTGCAAGAGCTGCTGGAAGGAGGCGTACAAGGAACCATCCCACTATTTTGGGGACTCCACTCTGGATTTGTGTAGGGTTTCCTCTTTTGTCTTTTCTTCACCTGAAAATATCACACAAGGCAGAGGAGGTTTAGGATAAGAGTTTTCCTTCTCCTAGATGGGTTATCTTTCCAGGCTGATGAGCCCCATCTGCCCCTAGCTTCCCTTTACAGCATGTGCAGAAACTGCCTTCTTGACCACTGGACCCACTGTTGGTCTCATCTGCTCCATCCACTGCAGCCTGTCTTCACACGCAGGGTATGTTCCTAACTCACAGAGGGTTTGAGACCCAACAGCTACCTCTCACCTGGTTTAGCTGGACAGTCAAAGTCATTCCCAGGGATAGGCCACTGTCGCACGCCAAAAGCTCCTAAATGTACCCAATCCTCTTTGCACTTTGTGCGTGTGAAAACAGTCATCAAGAAAGGCAAGCTCATATTGAGAAAGCTGCAGAACATATAAGTCACATGCCCCAAACCCACAAACACCAGACTAGAGCCAGCAGCTACATAAAACAAGTTTAATATCCAATGGGAGTGCACAGAGGTCGTGGTGCATCCAACTGTTCAGAGAGGGGGCGAGAAAATCACATATAGGGAGCCATGGCCCAGAGAATGAACAAATCAGAAGGGGGTGGAGAGAGGAGGAAACCACTTTACACCAAGCAAAGGGGGCTGAAGCTGGGTAGGGAGAAGAGAAAAAGAGGAATAAATACATATTTGCCAGGATGGGGGAAGGGAACACACAGTACCAACACTGTCCAGAGGAAGGGGGTGACCAGAAAGTTGCATGCAGTGACCTGGGTTTAACCCTAATACAATCATTATCCCCTAAAATTAAAAAGGGGGGGGGAATACAACTCTTCCAACTTCCCCCATCATGGAAAAGGAATCTTGCAACAGAAGGGGTGTTTCGGAGGAAGGATGGAATGTTCTGTCCAACTGGGAGAGTAAGGAGTAAGCAGCAACATTACTAAAGAGCCAACCTTTTGAAGCTGCCAAGGGCCGGGGCAGGGGGCACCCTTGCACATGCACATGCTCCCCTTGGCTGGAAAGAGCAGGCCAAACCAGGAAAAAATGTGCAGTTAGCATCTGCAGGGGCAGCTTTACGATATAGCATTGGTCCCAAATTTACTGCGGCAGCCTGCACCAATCACCACCAAGCCCTGGTCTGTTTTCCGGGAAGGGAGCAAAACAGTAAGGAATTGATGAGGCTCAGGAGAGGTGCATTATCAAGGGCTCCAGTGCCATTTGGTCTGAGAAGTTGGAGTGCAAATGATTCAAGTCCATCAGCAGCATTAAAAAAACCACAAAAATACTAACCATCCTGGGCCACTCATGAGGATGCTGTTAACAGGGCGACGGATTCGGGGAAGGAAGAGCAAGGAGGGCGTTCAGTATTGCTGCAATCTCAATTGTTGCCAGCAGGGGTCACTGCCCAACAAAATATATATATACAGGGACAGAAAGAATACAATTGGGGGGTGGGGGACAGAATTAAGTAGTAGCACTGCTCTCCCTCCAGAACATTGCCCCAATCTGGGAAGAGAAGGAGAAAGGGGCCTTTGATCACCTGCAGACCCATTTCCTAGAATGCCCCCTCCTTGCACTAACTGGTCTCTGTTCCCTCCCCCCCCTGCACATATTGCAGATACACACACACACACACACACACACATCCTTTTTAAGTCCCCGGCTTCACCACCTAGGTCCCTTCGCTGCAACCCAAAACGCAGCACACAAAAGCAAGTAAGCAGCAGCTGCCACTGAGTATTGGTCACCTCCGGTCAAAAAAATAAAAAGAGAGAGAACCAAGCTTCACAGACCACCAAGAAAATACAAAACTGACCAACAAAATAGAAAGGGAAACAAAAGAGAGAGAAAAAGAAAGGCCACAGAATCGGCACCCAAACCCCCCACTTGCCCCAACCCTCCCACCACACCCATATATTTTATTATCTCTATATATATATTTATCACACACACACGCGCACACACAGAGACCGTGCAAAAAATCCTGGCAGAGCCAGAATATGAGAAAAAGAGAGAGAGAGAGAAACCAAAAGTTAACCCCAACCCCCCCCAACCCCCACAGCAACCGGTGCCGGCAAGGAAAAGCAAACCCAATAGGGGAAAGGAAGTTGGGGAAGGGGAGAGGGGGGTTGGGGAAGGGGGGAATCAACCCATAATGGAACCAACAAGTGAGGGGGTTTAGCCCCACCACCACCCCTGCACTCATTTCTTGTTCTTCAGCTGGTTGGCCAGCCAATCCAAGCCCTCGTAGAGGCCGTCTCCGCTGGTGGCACAAGTGGCCTGGATGTACCAGTTGCGATGGCGCAGCGAATGCAGGCCCAGCTTGTCCGTGATTTCTGCCGCGTTCATGGCGTTGGGGAGGTCCTGGGTGGAGAAGAGGAGGCAGAAAAAGACCAGAGAGTTCAGCTACCCAAGATGAAAGGCAGGGAGAGGAGAAAGAGGAAGCCAGCCTCAAAGAGGTGTCCTCAAAAATCAATTTAGGACCCAATGTGGGTTTGAGTCAGTGGCAACTGACCCAGTGGCGCTGAGGTGGCGGGAGCATTTCCAGATATTACAGCCCTGGTAAGTAGTCTCCATTTTTGCTAGAGGCACCATCTAGCTGCCTCTTCCTTCCTTCTTTCTTTCTTTCTTCAAGCCTCCTAAGATCGCTGCTAGCTCTTTCCACAGTAGCCAGACTCCATACAGGAAGAGCTTAAAATACCTGCCTGGCGATGAAGCCCTCCCCACCCACCCACTTTTCAGAGTTCATCAAGTGTTGCCCACAGGTTCTGCCTGCTCTGCACTAACAAGTATGTACGTAAGTTAGTAAACTGGTTACCAAGGTAGTCAAAATTGAAACAGCTGCCACCCCTTCCTGCTCCTGTAGAAAACCTCTGCTGGCATCTGCCAATGGCCTCCTCCACATGAGGCAGGTTGGTGACCAGAGGGAATATCTTATTAGTTGTGGTTCCCCATCTCAGGAACTCTTACCCCACAGAGGCTTGCCTAGTTATCTTTTAAATCCCTTTTTCCTCTCCCAGACTTTTGAAAAGTGTTATAAGGACATTTACAAGCAAGTTTGTTGTTTTTTAATGTTGCTTTCAATCGTATCAATATTATTCTCTTGTTTACTTGGAAAACCCACCTGAAAACTAAGATTGAAGGGTGGCACATAATTGTATTTAAGTACTATTTTGCACAGTTCATTCTGCTATTCACAGGGAGGAACAAGTGGAGTTGCTTCACAGAGGAACTGATGCATCAGTCAAAAGGAACTCTTACTGAACAACTCCTTTGGACTCTTTGATGTAACCAGGCCGGGCCCACACACTTCCTAGTCCATTATTGCAATCCAAAGGGCTAGAAATTCGCTTTGGACACACAAAAATCCAGGAGCTGGGGTTCTTAGGAAACAGAATTCAAAACCCATACCACGATCTTACGTGCACTCCCACAGAATCACAGTGCACACGCAGCCTTGAATTATCCACGCACTTATTTTTGCAGCCACAAAAGCACATGATTTGTTTTGCACATGGGCAAAAGCAGCAACTGCGCTTTCCTTCTGAACAGCTATTGTGAGGTGCTGCATGGAATCCTACAACCAAAGTTTCTTACTATGGAAGAGGCTCAACAGCATGGCAGTATACACCTTTCCACACCCCACAGTTTGTAGGTTTCAGTGCTGCTCCACACCATGTATGATGAAGGTGTCCGTTTGTCCCAATGGCCCACGGGAAAATCTTAGCCACCTAAAGAGAAGGCCAGCATGTTCCACAGAGTCCTTCTTGAGATTATACTGGTTCATGGCTGGGTTTTCAGCCAAAGGCTCCAAATTTCACTAGAGAAGGGATGGGGAACCGGTGTCCCTCCAACTGTTTTTGAGACTCTGAACTCCCATTAGCCCCAGCCAGCCCGAGAGAATAACACCCAGGAATAATAGGAGTTAGTAGTCCAACAAACATCTGCAGTCACAGGTTTTGCACCTCTGTCCCAAAGGTGGAATGGGCAGACTTCAGGGATGTCAAATCTCCTTCATTTTTTAAACTAGAACTTGAAGATCTACTACCATGAGTCAGGTACAAGAGACGCACAGTTATAATTAAAGAACAGAGTGCCTCTGAGCACATTCAGAGCCTAGGAATTTGCTTTCAACACAAGAGATGAAATGAGTCCACAGTTCTTTCGTACAAACGCCTGGATAGTTTCATTTCCGCAGCGAGGCGGGAGGGCAGGGGACAATGGGATGGACAATTTTGTTAGTGATATTGTTAGAAACTCTTGCCAATCTCATGCCAAGATATTTACCAGTAAATCTTGCTTCTGCCTGCCTCTGCCCTACAGCATGGGTCAGTAGCACTTTGTTACTGAACTCCCAAAACAGTCAAATGCAGTCTGCCAGCAGGCCAATATATTACCATGCGTTCCTCATCAAATTGCAGTGCCAAAGGCATGTTTGCTTACCAGAGGCAGGCAGGCAGGCAGAGAGACCTCGATCAGATCAGCCCATCAAAGAGGCTCAACTGACTCCCCACCAATCTCCGATGTTCTGGAGCACCCCACCTCTCACTCTGGACCAACCTGTTTGTTAGCAAAGACAAGGAGAACAGCATCTCGCAGTTCATCCTCTGCCAGCATCCGCATCAGCTCCTCACGTGCCTCGTTCACCCGCTCCCGATCATTGCTGTCCACCACAAAGATCAGACCTGAAAGCAAGAAAGGCTGAGGATGAAGGGACACAAGGTATATGAGAGAGACAGACAGACATGAAGTGAAAATTTTATCTAAAATGTATAAAATATTGTTGGAATGGAATACTGTGGACAAAGAGGTTAAATCTGTTATGATTAGTTGGGCTAGAGATTTCGGATAGAATACTGAATTTGAGAAATGGACTAAATTGTGGGAAGGATGGGTTAAAGTTTACAGCTTGTACAACGATTAAGGAAAATGTTATGAAGATGTTATATAGATGGTATATAACACCAGTAAAACTGGGTAAAATGTATAAAGTGTGTAATAAATGTTGGAAGTGTAAGGAGACAGAAGGAACATTTTACCATATGTGGTGGGAATGTAAGAAGGTAAAAAGCTTCTGGGAGATGATCTATAATGAGTTAAAGAAAATGCTGAAATATACTTTTGTTAAAAAACCAGAAGCTCTCTTGTTGGGAATACTGGATAATGAAATTAGTAAAAAAGATGGGAAATTAGTTTTGTATGCAGTAACAGCAGCCAGAATTTTGCTGGCACAGAAATGGAAACAGGAAGAGATGCTCACGAAAGAAGAATGGAGGATGAAACTGATGGAATACGCAGAAATGGATAGATTGACAGGGAGAATTAGGAACCAACATGACCAGAGATTCTCCGAGGACTGGAAGAAATTTACAGAGTATATAAAAAATTCTGTGATGAGCAAATAACGTTCGTTGGCTTTCAAGAAGCTCTGTGAAATTACTGTTAGAAATATTGTTTAAAAAATATGATGTGTTTAAGAGTATTTGAGTGCAATATAATATTGGGAAATGTGAGATAAAAAATAAACGGAAAATTATCAGACAAGCTGAGGGAAGTTCTGGAAAAAAGGGTTTAAGTTAAAAAATGGATGTATAATTTTGTAAAAATGTTTTTTTTATGGAAAATCTAATTAAAATATTTATTAAAAAAAGAGACAGACAGACAGACAGACATCTTGCAAGCAAAGTATGAGGATGTGGAGTGGAAATGGGATTAAAGAACGTGAGACCAGCGGGTATAGGGAGGTATACAAATTTAATAAATAATAATAATAATAAAGAATTAACATGTGAGGAACTCTGGAGACTGCAAAGGGCAGTCCAGCTGCTCAAAAGATCTAACCATCTGGAAAGGCAGAAATGAGGATGCAAGCCAGTCCTCAACCCCATTTTTTTCAAGAGAAGATGGGAGAAAAAGGTTACCCAATGGAAACTCACAGCCCTTCCTCTCAAGGAGAAGTGAAGTCTCCTAGAAAAATCTCAGGCTTTGAGTGGCCTCCGCAACCTTATTGCCTTATTAGCAACTCTGCAAGGCCTTTTCTCTATGGTTCTTTGTTTTGCTTTTACTCCCTGCCCTGCCAACACATACACACAAAGAAATGGAAGGATGGGCTTGTTTTCAAACTTGAAAGACAGAATTCATGTCCCGAATGAGCACTCCAAGTTTTAAACAGCTCTCTCAATTGTCCAGGGGCATTGCCTGACTAAAAACAAGAAGCACACGTTAAACCAAGGCCAATTAACCCCACCACCCCTTCAGGAAGGCCTCCCATGCAAGATGCTGAAGCTCAGGGAAACAGAGGCTGCCTGATAGCTACAGAATCTTGATTGTATGGTCCCAGAGTCATCCTACAATGCCAGCACTGCAGGGCTGAAATTCATCCGGTGTCATGCTGCCCCGCTCCACCCTAGGCCACATTCACACTGTACGTTCAAAGCACTATGTTAGCACTTTGAGAAGCCATGACATCCCCCAAGGAATTCTGGGAGCTGCAATCTGTTAAGGATGCTGAGAGTTCTTAGGAGACCCTAAAAAGTACTAGAGCCCCATGTGAATTGTGTCTAGCTGTTAACCCGAAGGTTGGTGGTTTGGGTCCACTCAGAGACTGCTTGGGGCAGGATTCCTGCATTGCAGGGGGTTGAACTAGATGGTCCCTTCCAACTCTACAATTCTATGATCTCTGGAAACTGTAGCTTTAGGATGGGAATAGGGATCTCCTAACAACTTTCAGGCACCCTCAACAAACTACAGCTCCCAGAATTCAATAGAGCTCAAAAAAACAAACAATTGCAAGTGGCAAGGGACCCCAATCTCAACTGAAGCATGCAGGACAGACGGCCATCCAACCTCTGCTGAAAAACCTCCAAGGAAGGACATACCACTCCCTCCCAAGGGAGGTTCTCAGCCACGCAGTCCTGATGACCCATTGCTTGCAAGTCACTTTGTTTCTCTTTGGAATCGTGAGATCCACACCTCAGAGAGGCACCTGCTCCTGTTTAAACATCCTGGGATGAGAGCAACAAAGCACTCTGGCCAAGTAGCTCAAGTCAACAAATCAGGGGTTTAACTGAGTCCGGGGGTTGCTGTTCTCAAGACATCCCAAGGGTGAAAACAAGCCCAGAGCCATGCCAACCTGGAAGGTGATGGGGAGAGAGGAGCTTGGTAAATCCCATACCTTGGGTGTTTTGGAAGTAGTGCCGCCACAAGGGCCGTATCTTGTCCTGGCCACCAACATCCCACACGGTGAAGCTGATGTTCTTGTACTCCACCGTCTCCACGTTGAACCCTGAAGAAATGCAACAGGTTAAGAACCAAGTTTAGCATGACAGGGGACTCAGCCCTCCCTCTGAGCTAGAGACAACCAAGCATTCCACATTTAAAGACAACACACCAAGTATTAGCATGATTTTGCATAGGCCCCAGAATTGGCAGGCAAGCCTGTCTTGCTTCCAGTTCTAGTTCAGACTTCAGTTGGCAGGTTCTTTGGTTGACAACAGAAAGGCAACAAATGTGGCCATTAGAGGTTGCCATAAACTGAGGCTATATGCTGCTGCATGGCTCAACTATTTTTTGGTTCTCATTTTATGCATTGCTAATGCCAGAGAGGGATATTCTAAATGTTTTTAATTGTACTTTGGGAATTGCCCTGCGATCTACGGATGGAGGACAGTATACGAATTTAGTAATAATAAAACCACTTTATGAGGCAAGATTTGTTCTCAACAAATAATTTGGCAAAATTAAATCAAAAAGGGATCTTAGTTTGCTTTTCAAGCTTCACCAGTAAGTTGTGTTCACCAGTGCGCATGTTACCATGAAGAAGATTAAGCACTTGTTGACCAAATTGACTTGTTTCCATGTAGAACCTTAGCTACAGTCCAACAGTGGGTTCAAGAAACCACAGGGTTGTATCTAGGGAAGTCACTGAACACACAGAACTACTGCTTGTGCCACGGAACATGTCCTCCCACTCCTCTCTCTGTGTGCCCCCCACATAATCCCAAAATCTGTCCTGGGGTCCGTATGTCCTTCCAAAAAGCTCCTAAGGAGGAGAGTGGGGGCAGGTATCTGTGGGGGGGGGGGCGCACACAGGGGACAAGAGGAAGGGGAAGTTCTTTAGTGCAAACAAGAGCCATTCTGCTCATGTAATTACCTTGCTGAATTTAACCCATAGGCTCCAATGTGACTAACTCTTTAAAATATTCTGAATAATGAGTCACCCTTTCCAACATAGCTGGATAAAAATCAGATGGTGCAATCTAGGGAGCGCTAGTGCTCCACAATCTGTTTCCTTCCACAGCACAGGCACCGCTGATGAATGGAGGTTGCGCAGCAACAGCGCATAACCAATTGCACTCGTAATGCCCTCACAGAGGGGCCCCCACCCCAATTTTCCTTGTTTCTGAGCCATTAACAACAATGCTATAAATGTTTCCAAACTTCCCTTTCAAATCCATAAAACCAGCCATGGGGTTTTTTTTTTGTTTTGGTTAAAGGTTGAGGAAAGACCAAACCAGCCGGTCCTGTTGTGATCCCGAGATTACAGTAACATATCAGAGGCATAATTCATAGCTGAAATGGAATTTCTACATTTGAGGAGGAAGGTACCTCTGGAAACCAGCCACTGAGGGAAGATTGTTCTCCTCCTCATGCACTGGCCAGACATTACACTGGCTGGCCACTTGGTCTATCTGGGCTCTTCTTAAGTTCCCGCGGCTCCAATGGGCTTCGAGATAAATGTGCTTATGAGAAGTGCAGAAGCAACAGCCATCTCTGCTTAAAGCCTGCCAGCCCACTCAATACCACCCCAGGAATTGAGTGAGCTGGCAAGATTCTTGTTCCTGACCAGGAACAAGAACCTCAACTGCTAGGGAGACCCTGCCCCAGTAAGGTGCCTTTCCAAAGCTGGAGATGGAAGCTTGGAATGGCAATAATCAATCAAATTTGGGCAAATTGCTGGCATGGCAGGCAGGGTTCTGTGTGCCATGTGCATGTTTACGAGTTCTCCTCTGGATCTAGCGGCTCCTAGTTCTGTGAGTCACCCTAATTAAGCCTGCTGTGTGCTCTGTCAGGGAGGGAACAGACTAGTACAAATGACAGAGAAATTGCTTTAACTTAGCAGACACCCCTCAGCACACTCACACACCGCTTTCGTAGAACTGGAACTCAATCCCTGGGGCAGTAAGGAAGACGGGATGCAATGGGTCCCATGGGGGAGCAAGGTGCTTGCTGATACTGCTGTCCTGAAGTGACATCCTATGACCTGGCTGCAATTCAACTCTTGGAAAAGGAAGGGGGCAGGAAGCAGTTCCCCATACTTAAGGCAAGAGACTGTACCGATAGTAGGGATGGTGGTGACGATCTCTCCCAGCTTGAGCTTGTAGAGGATGGTGGTCTTCCCAGCAGCGTCCAGACCCACCATGAGGATGCGCATTTCCTTCTTGCCAATCAGGCTCTTGAGCAGGTTTCCAAATATGTTCCCCATGGCGGCAGGTTCAACAGTGCAGGACTTGGCTTCTTCTGTCCAGTCGGTGTCAAAGGACAATCCTGTGACAATGGGGAAAGGCTATTAGTTGGAGGAATGGCAGCTCCCAGTAAGAACAACGGCCAGAACAATGCTCTTGAGACTTGCCCATCATGGATTTCCAGTCTCCCCAAAACTGAAGCCCGTCAGATGTTGTTAGACTCCCAACTCCTACCATCATCACTAGCCAGCATGGGCAATGGTCAGGGTTGATGGGAGCTGGAGGGCACCAAGCTGGAGAAGACTGGACTAGCAAGTCCTACAAGTAGAGATAAGCCTGAAGCAATATGATGACATTTGCACCTTCCTTTAAGGCTGGGTTCACACACACAAGCATAGAACAACACCTGGCCACACATTCAGCAGCCAACTGTTAGAGTATATAACTTGTGGCTCTCCAGATGCTGCTGGACTCCAACTCCCGTCAGCCCCAGCAGACATGGCCAATAGCCAGGGATTATGGGAGCTGTAGTCCAGCAACATTTGGAGAGCTACAATTTCCTTACCCCCTGCAAGAAACACAGACTCCACAGGAAGTGTGGAGAAGATAGTGAAGTTCTTCCTGTGGTATTGAATCTGCCTGCAGGTTATTCACAAACGCAGGGTAATTTGATGCGTGGATCTAAGACTCCACTGGAAACCTCTTTCGAATGGAATCTTCTTTCAAGCAGGAGGAAGGCTTTGCTGAACTGAAAGCCACACCTTCTGCAACTTAAGGAAGCCCTACAAATGAATATCACAAAAGTTAATAACTGACTACAACATTTTCACACAGCCCACCCACAAAATTTTGTTTTTCATTTGTGACACTGCAACTGCCTGAAAGGATATGATGCCAATTCTTTTTCTCTTCATCAAGACCCAGCTGGTCTTCTGGATGCAATGCTTGCTTAAAAAGGTAAAGGTACCCCTGCCCGTACGGGCCAGTCTTGCCAGACTCTAGGGTTGTGCACCCATCTCACTCAAGAGGCCGGGGGCCAGTGCTGTCCGCAGACACTTCCGGGTCACGTGGCCAGCGTTACAAGCTGCATCTGGCGAGCCAGCGCAGCACACGGAACGCCGTTTACCTTCCCGCTAGTAAGCGGTCCCTATTTATCTACTTGCACCCGGGGGTGCTTTCGAACTGCTAGGTTGGCAGGCGCTGGGACCGAACAACGGGAGCGCACCCCGCCGCGGGGATTCGAACCGCCGACCTTTCGATCGGCAAGTCCTAGGAGGCAAATGGCTCTTCAAAAGCCCTCCCTTTGATGGTAATGCGAAATTATTCCCGCCTGAAGATCCTTCATGCAGGCTAAACAAAGACCCACTCTGGTCACAACCAGACCATACATTCAAAGCACACAGCTTCCCAAAAAGAATCCTGGAAACCAAAGTTTACCAAAGCCCCTCACAAAGCTACAATTCCCAGCACCCTTAACAAACAACAGTTCCCAGGATTCTTTTTTGCGGGGGGGGGGGGGAAGAGTCATGTGCTTTAAATGCGCATTGAGTGTGCTTTAAATGCATAGTGTGGATGTGATCATAATCTTCTCTTACCTTTTCAATGAGAACCATCCATTTCTACCCCTGAAGAAGCTCACAACTTATAACCAACTTGACCAATGCCAGAAACATACAAACAGCAATGTATGATGGGGTTCCCCCATGTCTTAAAAAAAGTATCATTTCATAAAATTTGTCACACAATAAATGGATACTATAACAGGCAAACTGGGCAGTTTCGAAGTTGCAATTGTCATCTATCCCTAAGCAACCCCAGTAAACCAAGGGCTCCATTTTATTTGTAAACGGGGTAGTGTTTAAAACCAGAAATTTAAACACAAGGCCACACAAAATTCAAACCCAATTAATTTTGAGCCTCGTGAAGTTTTCCAGTTGAAAAACATCAAGAAAGCAGAAATGCTGCACATCCTCAACCCCCTATATTGTTGAACAAGCATGTTATGAACAATTATTTCCTCTACGCAGAAGAATCACATTATCCGAACACCACCTGAATGTCTAGAAAATTCAGATAACCATGAGCACCCCCAGATTCTGATCAGATTATTCCTGATCATATCTAGTGCCCCTACAGTTGTGTTACTTTCCTCCAGAAATTTCTCAGTTTTGCCCCCAATGAAGATCAGGCCCCTACAGTTTAGAAAGGAGACAGCTTGAGCAAGGTGACTCAACGCAACTGGTCGAGCCCCAGCCCCCAGTTGCCAAACTAGAAACTAAAGACAACGGTGGCCATAGGTAACAAGACAAATAAGGCTTTATGACTCTGTATGAAAAGGCTTTTGTTTTATGAACCTTTAAGGAATGCAGGCTACTTGAGACAACAGCATTTGAGTATGAAATTTGTTTCCCAAGCCCTACCATGATTCTTACAAGTTGTGGAAGAGGACAAAGTGTGGAAGCAAGGAAGGCTCTATATCATCAGGCAAAGGCTGAGGAGGGGGATAAAAACTATCATGCGTCCCCAAAATTTCTGAAGTTGAATAACATGGGATGGGATCAAGGCACTCACACCTCTTTTCTTCACCAAGTACATGAGGTTAAGTTGCTATCGTGTAACAAAACGGATGAGTAGAAGCAAGCATAGCTAAGCTACTAGTTTAAGACTAAGGACTACAACTCCCAGCATGCCTTAGTAGGTGGAGGTATGCAGTTCAGCAAGATGGGAAGTGCTTCAACATCAGATGATGTGGCTATGTCTGGGGAAGAGTGCAATGCCTTCTAACCTGGGTAAATGGCTTATTGCTGCTGCCGCTGCCCAGAAATCACCTGAATTCCAGCGTCCCTATAAGGAAAGCTGCATTTGGTGAGTGAAGGATCCCAAGCAGGCCTCATGTTAGATGGGGAACAGTATCCTGATTGAGAGCTAGCGTTGGGGGCAGGGTGGGATCAGCATACCAGTGCCAGCAGAGACCTATAAGGGATCCTTTCTCCTGCGTCACAATAATGAAAGGCAAAACAGAGGGAGGGGGAAAGAGCACATGTGCCAGGCACTGCCCTTCACATAAACCGAGCCACATATGGCAGCATTCATCATTGCTAGACAGCTCAGTCGGAAGCCACATCCGCGGAGTCAACAAACTGAGCCCCACAAAGTCTTCCTGCAATTTGCCTTGCTATTGCCCTTGCCGTGAGACCTGGATGATCTGTTTCAGGCTTTGACCAAACACAGCCTTGGCCCAACCCACTGGGATCTGCTTCTTTTCCAAAATAAAAAAAATAAATACCCAGGTGTCTTGTCCCTTGATTTAACCAGGAAGCTTTGTGCGTGGGAAGGCGCTGACACATCCCAGAATCCTGCTTCTGCCGGGTGCTACTGGCGCCCCCTTCAGCCAAGAAACAGTAACTGCATCTCCCACAGCACCTTCTCAAGGCCCAGGTGGCCTCGCAGGCCCGACTAGCAGGATGCCCCAGGCCAGGTGTCACTTGGGGGGCGAGCCCACGAGGGCGCTCGGCCCCCGTCCCGAAGCCTTCCTCTCCAGCGCTCAGGAGAGAAGGCACGACGCCTGTCCTCGCCGCCGCGGCCACCCACTCGGGTGCCAGCCACCCACCCACGCGCGCGCGCGCGCTGACTGGCAAGCGCACGCCCGCAGCCCGCGGCTCTCCCCGGCACCCCCAGCCCTGAACTGCCACCGGGCCTCGCGAGCCGGGGGGTCGCCTGCTGCCCCCACCCCCGCCCGCCGCAGCGCAAGGAGCCAGCCAGACACCCCCACAGCGCAAGGCGCGCGCTCTCGGCCTGCACACTTCCCGGCACTCCCCCCCTCAAACCCCCGCACCCCCTTTAAATATTGCAACACCCCCTCAGAAAAACAACACCACACCACCCCCGCGCCATCTAACTTTGCCGCCCCCGGCCTTCCCTCCAACCGGGCAAAAGCGGGGGGGTGAGGAGGGGGGGGAAAGAAGCGCCTCCCGGAGACCCCCCCCTTTCCTGGCCAACGCGCGCACCCCCCGCAAGAGGCTCTTCCCGCTGCCGCAATGGCCCCTGGCGCTGCCCTTGGCGCCCGGCCTGCTTCTGCTCTGCTCGCCCGCGGCTGCAGCGAGGGCTCGGCCGGCCCTCGGCTCCCCTCCTCCCGGCCCGCCCGGCGAACGGGGCCCGGGCGCCCACCTGCTCCTGCTCCTGCGCGCGCCTCCGCCTCCTGCTGCCCAGCTGACTCTGCACTCCCAGCCCCGCTTGCCAGCCGGAAGCAGCGAGCAGGCAGGCCCGTGGACACGACGCTCTCGCGAGAACGCCTGCACCCCCCCCCCACTCGCGCGCTACACACAGACACACTCACTCCCAAACCTGGGGGCGGCGAGTCTCGCGAGATGCCCCGCGCCACCGTCTCCATGGTAGCAGCTGCGGCGGTGCAGGTGGGCAGGGCGGGGGAAGCGGCTCCTGGGCTGCCTCGGGCGGCAGAGTTGGAAGGGACCGCGAGGGTCATCTAGTCCAGCCACCTGCAATGCAGGAACCTTTCGTCCAACGTGGGGTTCGAACCCAGAACCCTGAGACTCAGAGTCTCGTGCTGTATTGACTGAGCTATCAGCACTCACCCCCCCCTTCCTGAGAGAGCCAGCACCTTTTGTAGGTGTCTCGTTCGTCTCAACTGGGGTGCAAGATGATTTGCCGGGGCATCATGGCTGCATTTTGGAATGCACCGGTTTTCATGTCCCAGATTATGAAGCACAGTCAGGGCCAGCCTGCAGCAGGAAACGGGATGAAGGAATGGGGCTTAGAGAAGCGCAAAGACAGTCTATACAAGTGTGCAGGTATAAAATAAATATAAATACACATGATCCACAATTTTTAGTGTATTGATCTAAGATTATAACTTTTTAATACATTCAGTTTGGCAATGAAGGACCAACTCTGATTTGAAATACACTGGGTTTAGCAGTCATTAAATAAGAGGGGAGAGAGGTTCCTCTTGTGGATCAGGAATTGGTTACGTGGTGGGAAGGACCTCTCCAAACTGAGTGGATGGGAGGCAAAATGGCAAATGTAATTCAATGTAAGCAAGTATAAAGTATTTTGGGGGCATGTTGGGGCAAAAAACACACAAAAAACCTTAATATGCTCATGGAGTTTGAACTGGCTGTGGTGACTGACTGGGAACACAACCTTTGAGTCAATGAAGATGTTGACCCAATGATTATACAAATCAATAGGGCAGCCACATTTGGAATATACAGTGGTACCTCTAGTTAGAAACTTAATTCGTTCTGGAGGTCTGCGTTTGTAACTCGAGGTACCACGGTAATGTACAGTTCTGGTTGCCTCACCTCAAGAAGGATATTGTAAGTTGGAAGAGGTTTGCCAAAGGGCAACCAAGATGATCATAGAATCATAGAGTTGGAATAGACCACAAGGGCCATCGAGTCCAACCCCCTGCCAAGCAGGAAACACCATCAGAGCACTCCTGACAAATGGTTGTCAAGCCTCTGCTTAAAGACCTCCAAAGAAGGAGACTCCACCACACTCCTTGGCAGCAAATTCCACTGTCAAACAGCTCTTACTGTCAGGAAGTTCTTCCTAATGTTTAGGTGGAATCTTCTTTCTTGTAGTTTGGATCCATTGCTCCGTGTCCGCTTCTCTGGAGCAGCAGAATCAAGGGAATGATCAAGGGAATGGAAGAACCCTATGAGGAAAGGCTGGAGCATTTGGGACTTTTCTTTTTTAGAGAAAAGTTGAGAAAGAGGTAACATGATCGAGGTTTATAAAATTACATATGACATGAAGAAAACAGAGGAGAGTTGTTTTTTTACTCATAACTCTGGAACTCATGGACATCCCAGCAAAGCTAAATGTTGCAAGATTCAAGACAGATAAAGGGAAGTACCGTATTTTTTGCTCAATTTTTTGCTCTATAAGACTCACTTTTCCCCTCCTAAAAAGTAAGGGGAACTGTGTGTGCGTCTTATGGAGCGAATGCAGGCTGCACAGCTATCCCAGAAGCCAGAACAGAGGGATTGCTGCTTTCACTGCGCAGCAATCCCTCTTGCTGTTCTGGCTTCTGAGATTCAGAATATATTTTTTCTTGTTTTCCTCCTCCAAAAACTAGGTGGATCTTGTGGTCTGGTGCGTCTTATACAGCGAAAAATACGGTACTTCTTAACAACGCATAGTTAACTCACTACCATGGGAGGCAGTGATGACCACCAATGTGGATGCTTTTAAAAGAAGATTAGACAAATTCATGGAGGAAGAGAGGGCTATCCATGGCTCCCAGGCACAATACCTGTGTTCTACCCTCACTGTCAGAAGCACTATGCCTCTGAATACCAAGTTGCTGGGAACGGCTGGTGGGTAGTGGTCCTGTTTGCAGGTTTCCCTCAGGCATCTGGTTGGCCACTGTTGAGAACAGGATGCTCAACTAGATGAGCCACTGCTCTATCCAGCAGGCTCTTCTTATGTGAATAAGCTTATATCAATATGATTATACAGACTCTCTTCTTACTGTATTCATCTGGGAATTTCCATCTTGCTGGACTCCCATCTTGGAGAAGGAGCAGAATGGCAAAGATGCCCCAGCCCTGCAGAGCCTGTGCAGAGACCAGCAGAATAATGATAGTGGCTTGCAATCCAGCTCTTGTGGCACAGAGCTAATGAGTCATGGTACAGTGAGTGCCCCCAAACAAACTGATCTCCAGCTTTTTGCCAGTGCAGTGGAAGCAAACAAGGGTAGCAAATGGATCCAGTGGATCAAATCCAACAATTAGTTAATATATTTAATTGAGGTCTCATCACGAGCATTATGAATATGAAAGGTGAATTCTGTAGCAACTGAAAAGACCAGTCCATCCTTATATACACTGTGAAGAAGGCAATTTTGGACATGCCTACCTACCCCATGGGACACGGGTGGTGCTGTGGGTTAAACCACAGAGCCTAGGGCTTGCCAATCAGAAGGTCGGCGGTTCGAATCCCCGCAACGGGGTGAGCTCCCGTTGCTCGGTCCCTGCTCCTGCCAACCTAGCAGTTCAAAAGCACGTCAAAGTGCAAGTAGATAAATAGGTACTGCTCCGGCGGGAAGGTAAACGGCGTTTCCGTGCGCTGCTCTGGTTCGCCAGAAGCGGCTTAGTCATGCTGGCCACATGACCCGGAAGCTGGACGCCTGCTCCCTCGGCCAATAAAGCGAGATGAGCGCCGCAACCCCAGAGTCGGCCATGACTGCACCTAACGGTCAGGGGTCCCTTTACCTTTGCCTACCCATGCCTGTTGTTTTTGTCCATGGAGTTTTCTTGGCAGGGATACTGGAGTGGCTTGCCGGTTCCTGCTCCAGGTGGATCACATTTAGTCAAAGCTCTCCACTATGACCTGTCTGTCTTGGGTGGCCCTGCACAGCATAGTTCATAGCTTCTCTGAGTTATTCAAGCCCCTTCACCATGACAAGGCAGTGATCCATGAAGGAGTAAGAAGGCTGATCACCAAAGAATTGATGCTTTTGAATTATGGTGCTGGAGGAGACTCTTGAGAGTCCCATGGACTGCAAGAAGATCAAACCTCTCCATTCTGAAGGAAATCAGCCCTGAGTGCTCACTGGAAGGACAGATCGTGAGGCTGAGGCTCCAAGACTTTGGCCACCTCATGAGAAGAGAAGAATCCCTGGAAAAGACCCTGATGTTGGGAAAGATGGAGGGCACAAGGAGAAGGGGACGACAGAGGACGAGATGGTTGGACAGTGTTCCCTAAGCTACTAACATGAGTTTGACCAAACTGCGGGAGGCAGTGGAAGACAGGAGTGCCTGGAGTGCTCTGGTCCATGGGGTCACAAAGAGTCGGACACAACTAAACAACAGCAACAACCTACCCCATGCCTGGCTTTGCTGAAGGCAGGGGGTTGCTGGCACTGCTCATCAGCAAAGCCCTGTGCAAAGAGCTCTGAAAGAACCAACAGTGAGGGTCCTTTGCTTTGCAAGGGGCTCAGCAAGCCTGACAATCTGCCAGCTCCCTTGCTAGATAGCACTATGCAGGGGGCATAGGAGCCAATTCCTAGGAGCCAAGGTCCCTTCGGCCCACCCAATAAAATATTTGAAGGGGCCAGCCCCCTCCCCCAAGTTAATGGGCATTACCGTTTAAATGGTGTGTGTGCCCAGCGTCATGATTGATTATTAAGGGCTAGACTTACCTGGGTCCCCCAATGTTTTTTTCAAGTTGGCATCAAGGGGCTTTGCAAGAGACCCTTGGAAAGTGCCATCATGCAGAGTGCTTTGGAAGGAGCTTCACAAGACCCAATAAAATCAGATAACTTTTGCGTCTTGTGAAGCCCTTTGCAAATCACTCCACAATACCCTGTGGGCAAAATAGTGAAATAATGTCAGACTTGGCCTGGGAAGGATGGGAGAAAATAATGATCTGATTCACCAGCTAGATCCAGCTCTACACT